GGGCGGCGGGGAGAAGGCGGCGCGGACCTTGAGCGCTTGATAGAAGAACTCGTCCTCTGCCGCCGTCCTTGGCTTTTGCGGGAGCGAGGAGAAGCTGCGGAGGGGGGGCGCACGGGGGGGGGGGCGGGGGGGTGGGGGGGGCGGCAGAATATGAGAGAAGCGACAGTGAGGGATAGGCGCAGAGGGAACGCCTGTCCTCCCACGCAGCGCAGCCACTGGGTCTGGGGTGGGTCTGGGGCGGCGGCGCACTCCCAGAAGAGGGCGGTCACGTGCTCGCCGAGCGGGTGGCGCAGGAAGCGCCGCACGTTCGCCAGATACTCTCCGGTCACGTCGGGGTGGTCCGGCGAGGCCCAGCCGTAGGTCAGCCCGGCGACTTCGCGGCTCAGCGAACGCAGCGCCGCAACAGCCTCCTCTGGCGTGAGGAAGACTTGAATGCCTCGCTCCGCCTCCATCTGCTCCAGCCCTTGCCGGCGGAGGAGCTCGGGCAGCATTGCCTCGGAGCCGTCGGCGCGCAGGAACTCGGCGCGGAGCAGCTTGATGGCGCCCGAGCGGAGGGCGGCGACGAGCGCCTCGTCGAGGGCCGCCAGCAGCGGGATGCCCTTGTGGTCGGCGGCGGTGAGCTTGGGCAGCGAGGCTGCAGCGGTAGCAGAGGCCCTCGTGGCCTCTTCGAGCATTGTGAGCTGCTGCCAAGGGTCCGCTTCTGCAGCTGGCTGCCAAGGGCCCGTTGCTGCAGCTGGCTTGCTCATCCCGCAGCCCATGAGGACCGCCTGCTTTCAGCTTCGGAGCACTGAGGAAAAAAGAATTTTAGCTAATTTATAAAATTTTCCTACTCGCTTTAGTGAGGCCAAACTGAGTTTATGGATGGGTGAGAACGGTCCGGGACCCGAGCGCCGAGGAGTCACGCGGACCGACTCGTCGGTGACTCTGCTGCAGAGCGCGACCGCCAAGCTGCGCGCCGCGCCAATAGAAATTAGTGACGAGCACGATCAGCCTCTGGCGGCGTGGATAGCTGCCGCAGGAGTCGCCCTCGCCGCCCTTGCTGCGCTCGCGGTCGTCCAAATTGCGAGGGCGTGGCGCCGCGCGAGCTCTGCTCCCACGCAGCCGCTCGCTCCAGCGCGGGTCGAGTCGAGCTACGTCGGCCTGGCCGCACACGCTTAGGCTTCCACACACACAGACCTCACAGCACGCAGGTCTGGGGCCCCTAGTGATGTCCACTCCCTAATAAATAAAAACGGACACCTCTACTGGAGATGGTAAAAGGAACAGGTCCTATGTTGTGTGCGTGCTCTTGGTCCGGGGTTGTGCTTTTGGTGAGATAGGCTCCCCAGCCGCCCGGCGCGGGGCTCCACGACTATACGTCCTGCACGGTGGCAGCGCTCGCACCGAGCGCTAGCAGCGGATCTGGGTCAATCACAGCTTCTGCTTTGTGGAAGCGCGAGAAGGCATAGTCCGTGGCATGAGAAGAAGGCATCTC